ACCGTAGGTGGCTGGTAATTGATCATCCGTGGTGGAGAAGTAGGAAGTTCAATGGCAAGAAAGAAAACAGAGCAACCCCTTCAATTCTCTCACCGGAAAATATGTTGAAGCAAGTTGAGTCATCCCTTCCTAATGCTAGAGGGTTAAATCTGAGTCCCAAAAATAAAAAGAGGAGGTTAAATAATGATTTAAATTGGAGAGTGAGAGATGCCTTTTGGGATTTACCTTACTGGAAAACTATTCACCTGCGTCATAACTTAGATGTTATGCATATAGAGAAGAACATTACTGAAAATGTGTTGGGGACCCTACTAGATATGGATGGGAAGACGAAGGATACTGAGAATGCCCATAGGGATTTGGAGATTATGGGTATTAAAAGGGATTTTCATTTGATTAGTGATGGTAATAAAGTCATAATGCCACCTGCTTCATACACTTAAAGGTTGGCAGACAGTAGGAAACTGTGTGAATGGCTGAAAGCTATTAAATTCCCAGACTATTATGCATCCAATATTTCTCGTAGTGTTGTTGCTGATGGGTCTAAGTTGTCGGGAATGAAAAGCCATGACCATCATATCTTCTTACAACGTCTTCTACCTGTCGTGGCTTAGGGGTTTTGCAACCAAAAGTGTACACTGTACCTGCAGAACTAAGTGGTTTTTTCATAATACTTTGTTCAAAAACCATTAAAAAAAAGTCTGTTGTGAACATATTAAGCCATGATATTGTTTTGATCATTTGTAAACTTGAAATGCTGAACCGTCCAAACTTCTTCGTTGTCATGATCCATCTAACCGTTCACCTACCACGTGAAATTGCACTTGGAGGGCTAGTGCAATATAGATGGATGTACCCAATGGAAAGGTAATCCGAGAACTCCTAATTAACCTTTGGATTTAGCCATAATATTTACTCAATGGATTTCTTGTTCTATTTATTTGTCATTATGGTTTTTATTTAATGTGTATAGGTTTTAAGGAACCTTGAAAGACTTTGTCCATAACAAAGCTTGTCCAAGGTTGTATTGCTGAGGCATGTGTAGCAAAAGATTGCCTCAACTTTTGCAGTAGGTATTTGCAAGGGGTTGAGACGAGAGAAAATCGTTTAGATAGAAATGATGATGGTGAGGATTTAGAACCTAATGGATTTGTAATCATCAGCCTAAAAGCAAGACCAATAGGAGGTTCTTGATATGATCCAAATCCGAAGAGAACTCTCGAACTCGGATAATATGACCAAGTACGCAGCTTCAACGATCTTTTCTTGATTTTATTGAAAATGACCTTTTCATGATTTACTTGATTCTTTGATTTTCTTGATTTTCATGAATTTCTTGATTTTCTTGATGTCGCCTTTCTTGAACTCGAAAATAAAGATAGATGCGGAATCAATCAGACAATTCCTAACTCATGATGAAGGGCAATTGGTATATTAAACCAATCGGACAACACAAACTCGTGGAAAGGGGCAATTAATATAGGGTAGATGCTCGCCACAACTAGACGTATTCTCTAGTTGATAAGAGACACGTACAATCTCCTGGAATCCTCGACAGAAGTCTTGCACAAACGTTCACAAAGGAACACGAGTAAAAACTCTTTAATTGATAACTTGAATGTTGGGTACAAAATTCGTAGCTCTTACACCCTCTATTTATAGAGGTCTCGAAAACATGTATCTAACCTAAAAGGAATAGGAAAACAAATCCCAAACTAACTAGGAAACCTAATACTACTTAAATAAGAAAATAACTCATTTTTATAACCAAAGAAAGCTCCTTAGTAGCTAAGTAAACTCCAAGCATGTTTTTAATGCTTAAGGAAGCTCCTTAGTGGTTAAGCAATCTCTTTCCTTGTCCTTTTAACATTTGGACGACTTGGGCAACAAAGATGGATGTTTTGGGCTCCAAGAAATGTTGTAGGTCGGATCCTTAATGCATTCTCCATTTTATCCATTAAGAATGCTCCCAGTTGATCCTTACATCGTTGTATTTGAGCCTTCATCTTTGGACCACGAGAATTATATATTCTCCCAATCGATTTCACATCAACAAACTCGTAGGCATTGCTTGAAGAGCAATTTTCACCCATCTTGAATGCTCCCAAGATCTCTTTGAACCTCTTAATTCGTCTCTTGGCCCATGGTCCATGTGAAGAGATTATTTGAGCCTGAATAACGCCATAAGGGGTGAGCGAGGTCGCATCATTCCCTCCCTCTTGAAGAAGATTTGACCTCAAATCTTGTTGTTGAATGTAGGCTCTCTTGTACCACTTCATTAACCACGAGCTAGAGTATACACCTTGAATGTAGGCTTTCTTGACACTTGTAGCACACAACATCACTAGAACAAAAATCAGATCGAGTTTTGTCATTGCACGTTACCCTTGAAGATATAGGTGTTGGATTTGATTTGAGGATGGGCTTGGGATCTTCATGTGGTGGATATGAAGCCTTTGCTGCATTTGATAAACTTGTATTGGTTCAAGAAGCAATCCGTCGTGTATAATCTCTCTGTTGCTGCTTCTCCACTTGGATTGCAATTTGTACCAACTCATTCAAATCAATAAAATAATGAATCTCCAACACATGCCTTATTTTGCGATTAAGACCATTGAGAAATCGAGCTACAGTTTCCTCCTCATCTTCATCAAAATCAGCTCAAGCCATTAAGCGCTTCATCTGCTTATAATAATCATACACGCTATTAGAACCTTGTCGAAGAACATCAAGTGCTTGATACATCTCACATTGTGTAGGGCCATACCTCCTTCTCATGCGTTGCTTCATCTCCTTCCATGTCTTTGTTGGTCGTTTCTCTCTAAAAAGTCGACTCCTAGAGCATTCTTGAGTCCACCAATCAAGAGCATAATGAATGAATGTATACTAGCAGCAAAGGTAACCTTCTCTTCCTCGCAACACTCATAGCAATCAAATATGAATTCCATCTTCTCTTCCCAATCTAAGTACGCATCTGGATTATTTCGGCCTTGAAAAGTGGAGATCTCTATGTCATCCATAAGTTGCATATGTTCTCCATTCTTCTCTTCATAGCTATCTCGACGTCTATAGTGATTTTCTCTTATAGGGGACACCATGCCAACCTCCTTTGAATTCCTCCATTCTTGATCTTCAAGAGCTTCTTCTCGCCGCTGAGTTTGAACCACTAATCTTCAAATCGCTGTTGAGTTTGAACCAGGCTCTTGATACCACTTGATATTATCCAAATCCAAAGAGAACTCTCGAACTCGGATGATATGACCAAGTATGCATCTTCAACGATCTTTTCTTGATCCTTTGATTTTCTTGATTTTCTTGATTTTCTTGAACTCGAAAATAAAGATAGTTGCGGAATCAATCGGACAATTCCTAACTCATGATGAAGGGCAATTGGTATATTAAACCAATCGGACATCACCAACTCGTGGAAAGGGGCAAGATATAGGGTAGATGCTCGCCACAACAAGACGCGTTCTCTAGTTAATAAGAGACACATACAATCTCCTAGAATCCTCGACAGAAGTCTTGCACAAACGTTCACAAAGGAACACGAGTAAAAACTCTTTAATTGATAACTTGAATGTTTGGTATAAAATTTGTAGCTCTTACACCCTCTATTTATAGAGGTCTCAAAAACATGTATCTAACCTAAAAGGAATAGGAAAACAAATGCCAAACTAACTAGGAAACATAGTACTACTTAAATAAGGACTATCACTCGTTTTTATAACCAAAGAAATTTCCTTAGCAGCTAAGTAATCTCCAAACATGTTTTTAATGCTTAAGGAAGCTCCTTAGTGGTTAACCAATCTCTTTCCTTGTCCTTTTCACATTTGGACGACTTGGGCAACAAGGATGGATGTTTTGGGCTCCAAAAATGTTGTAGGTCGGATCCTTAATGCATTCTCCATTTTATCCATTAAGAATGCTCCCAGCTGATCCTTATATCGTTGTATTCGAGCCTTCATCTTCGGTCCATGAGAATTATATGTTCTCCCAATCGATTTCATATCAACAAACTCGTAGGCCTTGCTTGAAGAGCCATTTTCACCTATCTTGAAATTCTCCCAAGATCTCTTTGAACCTCTTAATTCGTCTCTTGGCCCATGGTCCATGTGAAGAGATTATTTGAGCTCGAATAACGCCATAAGGGGTGAGCGGGATCACATAAGTTCTTCACGTGAGAAAGTTTCCCCTGCAGAATTTAGTAAGATGCAGTGGTACATATCGAATAACTGTCAAGAGATAGAGCCTTTTCTTGAGTAATTATATTATCAAATAAACACAAGTAAACTTATAAACATTTAACTAAAACAGTTATTACACTTGTACATAATGCATAAATAAGAGTTTGTGCAAAAAAATCCCAACTCTACAGAAGCAGATATACAGGCTAATTTTCCTTTTTGGTTTAAAAAATATGTAAGCATAAACTTTAACCTTGTTGAGTTCCCCTTGTTTTCCTATCAATGACTAAACCTTTCATTTGACAAATTGACCCCTTTGTACTTTTTGTTTTCCTGTTTATACGTTTCTAAACTATACATCAATAGGTCAGTCGGAAAAGGTGACCATTTATATGTTCTAGGGTTAGGTCTAGATGCTATAGTAACTAGATACAGTGGTATCATTATGAATGGGGTTAGATACCATACGGCTGAGCGTGAAAAGGGTAATCAAACACAAAACAATGGTATTTTGGTTGAAGGGGAACATAATTTAGAAACAATTGACATTTATGGGAGTATAATGGATATAATTCGGGTGCAGTCGGTGTCAAGTATTCTTGTTTAAGTGTGATTGGTGGGATGTTGGGGATAAAAGAACTGGTATCAAGTCAGACACCCATCTCACAAGTGTCAATATGTCTAAGAAATGGTATATCCATGATCCCTACATACTAGCAAGTCAAGCCAAACATGTATTTCACCTTCCTGATAATATATAAAGAATGCTGGTAATTGGCATATTGTACATAAAGTACATCAGAGATAGATCCTATGTATGAACATGAACCATATCAACAATTTGAGGGTATGGAACTTGATGGAGTCAAGATTGATGAACTGAGCAGTAGTGACTCGGAGGAAGAAGTGCTTGAAACACTTAGTTCTGATGAGGATGGTAATGAAGATACTAGTAATGGGGATGGGGATGATACAATGATTCTGTATAGTGATGTTGCCATTGAATCGGAAGACACTTTTGATAGTAATGGTGGTAACAGGCTAATAGCAATGATGATGATGATCTCTAATATACTAATGTAATTTTACAAAATAAAATATACGATTTTGGTGTTCCTGAATTGTTATGTGTGTGTGTGTGTGTGTTTATCATTGAATTTTTTGTACAAATTGTATGTTTTCTATCTTACCCATGCTTGTAGACTGCAGACATGGTACCAGGTACTAAAAAGAGGACCAAAGCTAGACTTGTGACTGGTCCAGCCCGAGTGACAAGATCTAGGGCAACAACAGCTCAATCTGAGTACACTGTGCAAGATAGGACCTCTGGTAGTAATTTTGTAGAGCAGCAAGCATGAAATCAGCCCATTATAGAGGAGGAGGATTGTTTTGTAGAGGATGAAGCAGCTTCCAATGCTGCAGGTTCAAATCCTGAAGGTTCCAGTGGGCAAGGTTAAGTTCTTTTCTCTATATATATTGTTCATTTCCTCTACATTTACAAAGTAATATGATGCCTACTTTCCTGGACATTGTAGAAGGGGGAAAGAAGAATCAACGCGCGAAGACCAAAGGATATGAGGTGAAGAAGAGCTTAGAAGAAGGAAGCAAAATTGGTGGCATAGTCATTGAAGAAGGAGCAAAAGCAGTCGTGGGCATTAATGATAAGTTGTGGAAGATGAAGATTGGAGTTATAGTCCGTGTATTGGCTCCTATTGGGAAATTCTATTGGAGGGAACTTACTGAAGAAGATAAGCTGCCACTGTTTGCCAAATTGGAGGTGAATATTTAATTTTTCAATGTGTGTCTTATAGTTATATAAGTTCCTAACTCCTTTGATCTGACAGTTTGTTCATTTGTCTTTTCTGGAAATGGTAGAGTGAGTTTGATATAGACATGACAACACCAGGTGTGAAAGAAATGGTGGACGCTACAATGGCCTCTCGACTTAGGCAGTTTAAGTATCGTTGTCACCAACGTTACAAGAATGAGATAGACAAGGTGAAAGCTCGGGAGACACCGATGGAGGAAGTGAACATCAATGACTGGGAGCTTCTCTGTGATCATTTTGATATTCTGTGTATCAAGGTAAGGCCCAACCAGTTTCAATTCATAGAACTTGTAAACCCAACCACAAAGTTCTTACATATCTTCTTACCCTCCCCCCATAAGAAACAAAGTGACGCTAACACAGCGAATAGGAGCCAGCAACTGTATTCCCATACTGCAGGGGCTAAGTCAGTTAGTCAAAGGATCTATGAACTGGTAGGTTATATATTGTGTCCAATTCGTTATATACATATATATCTTCATTTGGAATGCTTATAACTTGATTACCTTTCGTGCCTATGTGAAATAAGAACCAGAAGGAGGCAAATAGTGAAAAAAACAAATGATGAAGTGCATGGTAGTGAGAAGGAGACAACCATAGATGAGTAGGAAAATCCACCAGCGCCACCGCCATAAGTCCTTGTCTATGCTGACATACATAAGAGGCGTGATGGTAGCTGGGTTCATCCAGACACCGAAAAAAATTATGTATGCCCTTGTCTTCCATCTTGTCTCAATTGACCTTGTTCCATAATTGATTATTAAATCACTGTTTTGAGCATTGTGGTTGTTATTTTGTTTCACTTGTAGGAATCAATGAATGTCTTGAGCACTCAGTCTAAGGAACAAGGTAATAATGTTCCATGTTCCGCGATAGTTGAGAAGGTGTTGAACAAAAAGCAAAGGATATCACAAAAGGAAGTGATAGACCGTTAATTACACATGTTTTTACCCCTGTTCTTACACCGTTTGAGAGGTGATTTCTCGTATTTTAGGCCGATTTCACGCTAGGGTGTGCTTGTTTGTGATATTTCAGGTCCTAGTACGTGAATGGAGGCTCGGGAGCGAGTTTGGGGTCGATTGGACGAAGATCGGGCGCGAGGCAAGTCACAAAAGAGGCCACACGGGCACACCCACAAATCACACGGTCGTGCAACTCATATTTCTGGCCGTGTGAGATTGTGCGAGAGCAAACACGGCCTGCCCTGACAACTCACACGGCCGTGTGAAGAAGTGGTCTGGCCGTGTGACTTTTGCCGAGAGCAGACACGGGCAGATGGAAATCAAACACGGCCGTGTCACTCTGGCCGTGTGAGAAGCCTGAGTATCGAACTAAGTGGAACGCAGCGTTTTGACTCACACGGGCAACTGGGTATGCCACACGGCCGTGTGGCCCTGCCCGTGTGAGTCGGGATTTCCTGGTTTTAACCCAATTCCGGGCTGCAAGAGAGGGAATCGAATTTCTTGAGCAAAAACAGAGGCCTAGAGAGAGAAAGGACGAAGAACTCACCCTAGAAGCCATCTTGGAGCTGGGTTTCATCAAATCAAGCTTGGAGATCGTCCTAGGAGTGGAAATCATCATCCCGGAGCAGATTTTCCTCATCTTTATGAGTATGACTACTCCTATTACTGTTTTCCTCTCTCTCTCTCTCTCTATGGAGTAGAACCTCTCTCTCACTTGGGGGTGAAGAACCCTAGTTCTATGTGTTAGGGATTGATTGTAATGACTTGGGATGAGATTACTGTTTGATTTTAATCGAATGATGCATGTTTATTGAGTCAATTGAAGTCTGATCAACTTTTCCTGATTCCTGCTGCACTCTGAGATAGATAGAATCTAATTAGGTTGCTAGAGTCTCATCATTCGATAGTAGGAGATTGGCTATACGAGAGTTAGCCAGTTTACTGCTTTGTACTGGAATCCAATTCCAGTAGTGGAGTTCTGTTCTTACTGCTTCAGCTTTCTATCCCGGTGAAGACTAGTCGTCTGCCGGGTAGTTAGACTGAGAGGGCTTGGTCAGCTTAAGAGATTCCAAGCTACTGTCGGATCTTCCACAGTCTAATCAACAGTAAATCAACCCAGGGAAATACAATTGAAACCTAACTAAGGAGCTAGGGGGACTCATTCCCGAGTGACTCTTTCCTGCTTGAGAAAACCGAATAATTTCCTTCTTTATTTCTGCTTTTGCTTTTAAACAAGAATCACTTACTTTAGTTGGCTAGATAACAGAGAATCACTGAGTAAGCAGTAGATCTAGACCCCGGGTTGATAATATAACTTGCCTGTTACTGCATTCCCGGTCTGCGATTACACTTGGTCGCAGATTGGTGTTGTGTTTTGGCGTGTCAGGAAGCAAGGCGCTCTACTAGAGAACTTCAGCTGGAGAGAGAATTGCAAACTGAAAGGGCATAAAGGCAAGCCGAAAGAGAGAATTTTGAAAGGCGGACCAAGCAATTTGAGGAGCAAATTGAAATCCAACAAACCAAACTACAGACTCAAGACACTAAGTTTGAATAGATGGAAGCATCACACCACCGTATTGAAACTACTATGCTCGAGTTGGTTGCAAAAATGTCTGCAGAAAACAACTCCAACAGGTAATTTTTATATTTACTTGAGTGTTTGGATGGTGAAGTGTAGATTTTCTTGAGTGGTTTGAGAAGCTATGGAGGGCATGGTGCTTGTTTTTATGCTTGCTTTTCGGTAGAGGAGCATGTGTGAATGCTTGTTTTTGGGGGTAGAAGGGTTAGGATACTGAACTAATATAGTAGTAGCTCTTTTGTGGCAGGACATGTTGGCTGTGTAATTTGCAGATGCCTTTTAATTTTAATTTGTCTGTAAGTTTCGGATAATGGAGTACATTTAGATCTTTTGTAGAAGCACATTTGGTTCTTTTGTGGAATGAATGGAAATGGTTCTGCCAACCAGCTAATGATGTACCTCATATGACAGAATGTTATTTTGTCACATTAATTATTCGTACCTTACAGATTCTCTTAAAATGACAAAAATGTGGGCGAAGAATCTTCACAACAGATTGCAGCAAATAGTGACAGATATGGTTTGTCATAATACTGGAGCAATATGTGAGAAAAAAGCATTGTGACAAACAATGTGACCATAAAGGTCGTCATAACCTACACGTTTGTCACAACCGGTGCCCAAAAATAACGTCTAATGTGACAAAATGGAAGTGTGGTGTGACAAAGACACCACCTTGTTGTTACGATTTATTTTGTAAAAAATGCATCCTGTTATGACGTACGGTATTCATCACAATACAGGAAGCACTATTGTGACAAACGTTACAATTTTTCGTCACCCCTGACCTAATACGACGGGGCTATTGTAACAAAACTTTGTGACAAAGTATTTTGTCATAAATGACCTACTGTGACAAAGTCGACATATAATGTGACAAAATCATCCCGTCATATTAGGCATATTTTCTTGTAGTAGAAAGCGACGAACCAAAGAAGAGGAAAAGCTAGGGTTTGATCTCCAAGCAAGGATTTGGGTTTTCTTCGGCACAAGGAGCAAGGCTTTCCTCTTCATGATGGTTTTGCTTTCCCTCTTTTGTGTTTTCCCTTCTCCTAGCATGGAGTAGTCCCTTATTTCACTTGGATGTTTCTAAACCCTAGCTACAATTATGTGAATGCTGGTATGAATTGAATGATTTGTGTGTGGATGTGTTTTGATGTGAATGTGGAGGTATTATTCTAAAATGATTGGGTTGTGTGAAAGCCTATCAATCTAATTGACATTCTAACCTAGTTTAGAGAAAACCCCCTTAACTTAAGAGGCTCTTCTAGAGATGGGTTTCTTTGGGCATTCTATGCCTCCTAGTCTAGGTTAGTTAGAGGGAAAACCTCCTAATTAGTATTAAACACTTAGGGTTTGGTTTTGGGTGGCCTTCCAAATTCCAATTCGAGGGTAAAGTCTAACTAATCCTTAGTCGATAGATTGAGACAGTCACATCAGTGGCTTGGATCGTATACCATTCCTCAACCTAGAGTCTAAGAGGGTAACTTTTGTTTCTTGCTAGACTTCCCTGTGGTTTATGACCCCCTAACCACACACGGTCGTTCGATTCTTCGAGTCATAGTTGTTAGCTAGGGGGAGGAACACCCAAGTGAAGCTTTCTCAACTAGCGTCAAATCCATTTTACCTTTTCAAAGTACCTTAGTTTTTAATCTTTGTTTTCACCAAAACTGATTCGCTAGATAATGTTTCAAACAGCCGAAGTAGGGAGGTGCATGACCCAGAGAAATCCGCCGCCTTTGACACCATTTGACGAGGACATCAACTGGACCCTCCAACTTCTAGCTTGAGAGAGGGAGCAAGCGGAGGCTAGAAGGAGAAGTGAAAAAAGGGGACACAAATTTGGTCCTAAGTTAAAGCAATTGAAGAAGGAGTTTTAGTTGAGATGGCGGCAAATCAACAATGAGGGGCTAATCCGCTTCCAAACCCAAATGGAGAAGCGGAAGCCGAGGAAGGACCAATGACTATGGTCTATTACATGGCTCCACGGGCGTCGGATATCCAATCTCCCATCTTACATCCACCTGTGGCCGCCAATAACTTTGAGATCAAGCCCTCTCTCGTGATGATGATTCAATAAATGCTAACTTCCATGGGCTATCCAATGAATCACCACGAGAGCATGTCCAAAGGTTTCTTGAGTTAGCGAGAAGCATGAAGATTAATGGCGTCCCCGAGGAGGCATTGAGATTGAAGCTTTTCCCCTATTCTTTGGCAGGGAAGGCACTCCGATTGCTCAACAACCGTCCGGCTCTATCCATCACCTCTTGGGACGATCTCCTAAAAAAATTCATGACCGAATATTTTCCTCCTTCCAAGATGCCTGAGTAGATGAAGAAGATCACTCACTTTGAGCAAAGGGAGGACGAGACATTGAGGGATGCATGAGAAAGGTTCTCCGACTACTTCCTCCAATGCCCTCACATGGATTCGAGGAGAAATTTTGGATAGAAACTTTCTATGGAGGACTCATTCAAGATGACATGATCCTCATTGAATCTCTATGCCAAGGGAGGTTGATGAACATGACCCCTCCTCAAGTTACCGAATTGCTTGAAGATATAACTCTCAAAGGATATGATTGGAACTTGACAAGAAGTAGGAAGAGAAGCAATGAAAGAGGAGTAAGAAGTGTGGGAACAAGTGCTCCACTTGAAGCGAAGCTTGACAAGTTGATCGAGGTGATCCTTGAGGACAAGAAGCAAGGGAAGAGAGTGGTGATGTCTTGTGATTGGTGTTCGAGCACCAATCACGAAATTGCGGATTGCCAAGTGATGAAGAAGTCGAGTACCCCCGATGAGTTAAGTGAGTTTCATTGCCAATGCTAGAGGGAACAACCCTTATAGGAACACATACAACCCTGGGTGGCGCAATCATCCAAACTTTGCTTGGTCTTCCCCTACCAATCCAAGACCTTCCGGCTTCCAAGGTCCAACGAGCAACTACCAACCTCGGCCAACATTCATCCAACAAAGGCCTCAATTCTAAAACTCTGCATCGGGCTCCACTATAGCCGGGTCAATT